CGGCGTCTCAGTATACCACGAGCTGTAGCTCGTGGTATACTGAGCCTAGGGTGACGGGAGGACGCTAGTTTGTGTCCTCCCGTTACCCTAAGGAGAACTATGGGGAAAAGACTTAACCCCATAGTTCTCCTTTAACTTGAATGGTTACAGTGGCCGCATTTAACGGGAGATCTGGGACTCCTGCCGCAGGAATCTGTAGGTCCCTTCCGCAGGAATAACAAATCGACCCAGTCTAAATGTAGCCAATCAACTGGTGCCATATTTGCAAAGAAAATTGAACTGAAGAGGTAATTTTAATAACATTACATTTCAAGCACATTGTGTAGCATTTATAATTATTATTTGAAACAAACCCAGAGTTTTCTTTTACATAGGTTTTCTTTTTAAAAACCATCCTTGTGACTGAGGTAGCCTGGTGACCTTTCTTATCAACATGTATGTAAATCGAGTTCAGAGCATTTCAGGACATAGTACAGGAAAATCCATTGACATTTTTAAAATAGTACAAACACAAGGCAATCCTAGTGTAGAAAACACGCCATAGTACTAAACACGCCATAGTACTCTTGTGTACATGACCTAGCTTTCCTATCAAGCCCGTTCTCTCAGTAACATCAGGGTCCATGGACAGGATATGGATAACAAATTAGCCTACTGTGTGAAAACCATTTGTGGCTGAGAGTGTTGTCTACATAGCTGCCAATTGACTGAGATGTCAGGGATGGCCCCAGGTTTTGAAAACATGCCCCTGAAAATGTATTTCCCTAGAAATGTCCCCAAGTTTAAAAACTGCTCAGCTGCTCTACAAAAGCCATACTTGCTCACATGCTTAAAAAAAGTTACATATGACTTAATCTGAACTCCAGGCAAATATAAAATACTCTGATCAATCTACCTCTGTATTTGCTAACATATCCTTAAAGGAAAAGTGCACTTTATAACAAAGTACACATATCCTTTTAGTGCCTTTGAACTGACCTAACCAATCCCACCCTCCCCTTGCATAGTTGCACACTTACTGAGCTTCAACGTGCCTGGCCTCCATTGTTTGTTAACATCCTGCGGCAAAAGACTCCCTCTCCTGGCCGCGCCTGCACAGTACATTCCTATTGACTTCTTTAGGGCAACATCCCAGCCAGGAGCCAGAGGCAGACACGTCCCACACAATTTAGTAGGACTGTGCATGTACTGTGCAAATGCAGCCAGGAGAGGGAGACATTCGCCACAGGAGGTAAAATAACAGCGGAAATGCAACAACATATGCTAATAATAAACACATATTGTGTTACTGACATTCTGATGTACTGTTATGTCTTTTGAGCACTAGATGGCGTTGTAGTGCAAGTCTAGTCTATGCTATTTTTCTATATGCATGCTTCTACCAGTGATCCACAGGAAGTTCTATCTTTATATATGTTTTCCTCTCTATTATTATATTCCTCTATACATACATGTATTGTCCTGCTAAGCAAGTAAAACTTAATTCAGCATTCCTCAGCATTCCTCAAGATCTCAGTGCTTCATGTAAACACATAACCAACAGGACAGGCCCGTCGGAACCTGGTAAGTATGCATCTATGCAGGGGGAAGGTGGGATGGGTTATGTCAGCTTAAAGGGACCAGAAGGATAAGTTCACTTTATTTTAAAGTGGATTTTTCCTTTAAGATGAACTCCAGGCAAACAGCTACATACACACTATTCTGTCCCTCTGATCTTTCTCTGCTGCAGTTTCAATTTAATTTATAGATCCCCCCCTACCTCACCCCACACCCTCTGTGAATGCACAGTAACAGGAGAAGCAGCACACTGATTTGCTCATTTACCTGTCACTATGTTCTCTCCTCCTATCAGCATGCTCCTTGGACTGCAACACACCTGAATAACTCATTGTGCTGTTTTTTCCTCTCATACTTTGAGCTCTGCCCTACATGGATTGCAAGAGGCTAATTCCAAGTCAAAGTCAGGTACTAGCACTGCTTTCATTAAAAAAATCCGTCTGGAGTTCAAATTTAATTATCATTATTTTTTTTAGTTTATTTTTTGCAAGTAGTGTACTTTGGTTTGACGTGGTAGCAGCCGCTTGAAGTCCCAGTACAGTAGAGTTCAGACTGGGAGAGGGAGAAGCAAATCAAGGAGCTGTGCAGCAGTGTAGTAGTATTCTGATGGTAGAAAGGTGATTGACAGAGAGATGAGCCTATCAGTCTGCTGTTTCTGCTTTTACTTTTCAATCATACACTTTCTTTTAGACAAAAAGGGAATTTTTTTATAGGCAGCTCTCCAAGGAGTGGCAGTCAAGAGTTGGCTAGTAACCTGGTTAAAAAAAGGTATCCAGGTATAACATTATTCATACTCTTGAATCATAAAATTCAAACTTGTTTTGGGGACACAAGACTATTGATTCTCTATGCAGGAAATAACCTTCAGGTATCCTCCTATTCCACTAGACAAGTATGCATGTTTTGCAGCCATGCCAAGCCCTAAAGAAGGGGATCTCTTTAAGCTTGTGAAATATGTTGGTATTTTTTAATTCAAGACTACTTAAAAAAGGTATATCTGGCCTGTACATGACTAGCATCTCTCACTTTCCTGCTTGCATACCTAGGATTTTAATTGGTACCTGTATCCCCAACGGGACGATTTCCCCTTACTTCCTTAGTCATCAAGACAGGATGTAAAGGAAAATCTCATCCAAAGAGATAAATATAACAATGGAAACACTTTTTACATAGAATGGGGAAAGGTCTGTTAAGGTTTGTGTCCTTGCTGGAGAGATTCCCTTACTTTCCTATACCAATGACAGTGGTCCCTAGGACAGGAAGTAAGGGTTTATCCTCCTTATAGGGACACACACAGCAATATAAACTAGACATAGAAACAGAGGTTTTAACACTTTCCCAACTACAAATGTAACCAGTATAAAATCCTTTATTCCTAACATGCAGGATTAGAATGACAAATCTGAGCAGCAATGCCTGGTCTATTCATTGCACATTTCACAATGCTTTTGCAGCTTACTGCAGCACTGTGTGCACTTTATGCAATACAGAAAAATCCCATGGATCCCTACATCGACTAATATGACATTAGCTTTGTGGTTACAATATTGTCTCTTTAAATTGTATCCAATTTTTTAATGCTGTATACATTATACAGATATCTAGCAATAATTATAAAACAAAACGATTCATTGCTTACTCTCATAACCCATTACAGTAAGGGCATTTAAAATCACAAAAAACACGTTTTGAACAATAAAACAACAGTTCCTTTATGGCAATGAACCCTTGGTGCCAGATCAAGCTGTGGAGTGATGCACTGGAATCAACGGCACTTAGACTTTCACAATTGAATTTCTCATTCATCTAGCAGTACACTATATATTGCTTTATCATCCCTGTCCTGTCCATCACTATGCAGTTCCTCCATTATTGAAGCATACAAGAAGTGTTCACATGATCCAGGCAAGTGTAAGAGTTAAATAAATTGTTCACTACAAGTGAGAGGTGGGTCGTAAAAGGCCGTCTAATTTTCAGATAACTCAGAAAGGATTGGTGTAATATGTCACAAGAGATTCATGAAATAATGATGGAGCAAGAGGGACAAAACTGCAATAACAAAGTGTAATAAAATATTATACTGTATATTGAACACACACACACTTAACAGAATTACATTTGTGAGAGGTTCCCAAAGGTTTTCTACCCCCTGAGTACCCTGTTGTCATATTGGCAGTCCGGTAATGAGACACATATACACATTTGTTACCACAGTACTGAATTGCATCTTAGAGTTCACAGTTCACCACAAATATTTTGGAAATAATGTTATCAGACTGTTTTACTAAATCATAATTTATGAAGAATGATGAGTGGATACCTAGAATCTATTAGATTTCATTAAATAAGAGTGAAAGATGTCTACTGATTGGTTTGCATGGGCTGCTGCACTTGTCACAGTGCACTTTGCTTTTTTTAAACATGTATCTTACACATATTTGTCCCAAAAAAATGTCCTACTTGCTTGGAAATAACTGAATTATACCATGTCCATATTTTAGTGATATCAAGCAATAATCATAGGTGTTCTTCTACTAACTGAGTAGGTAACCACTCATGTCATAGGTTGCTGTTCTATGAGTTGCTAAAATCTTTACTTCAAGATAGTGATCCTATTTAGTTTGTAAAATATGCAAGCATCTTTTAAGGAAACACAGGGGAAACCTAAATGTCATAAAAGTAAGCTTTGAGCTCTACCTATTATCCACAAAAAGAACAAAGCATGCCACAACTGTAAACTCAATGATGCCTTCAAAATCCTTTTGAACTCAGAGTGAAAATATATACATGTATAGCCACAAATTAATAACTTTGACATGTCTGGTAGAAACTGGGTTAGGTTACCCACAAGTAACCATTTAGCACTGGTTCAAATGTTAAGCTGGTACAGGAAGTTGTAAGTAGGCTTATTGAGAACTGTGGAATGCTTCCTGAATAGACAGAATAATGAAATAATGAATAGATCAGATATAAATGAATAGATCAGAATACAATGAATGAGGCTGATACAGTGAGAGACATTTTTGAATGAAGCAGGAGATTGAAGAGAGCAAAGTGGTACCACCAATCAGAATTGATCTTTCAGGAATTCACTTTAAGTTATCAAAACTGTGATGCTGTAAGTTACTTAGCTTTGAAGTTCAGTTTTGTTCTTTGTGCAGAACTGTTGAATAACCCTTAAAAAAGAGAAGTATTCTGAAGGACACTGTTAAAACATGCACAGGTAGAAAACTTGGCAATTTTATCTGTACGCTATAATAACATACTTTTTAAGATTATGTGAAATTAGCATAATGACATATTTTCAGTAATTGAAACATTGCCATGCTTTCTGCTTTACAAAGGTCACCCATTGCAAGTGGCCTATACAACAGGTACATTGACATAAACACATGACAGTTGTAATCAAGCTAAAAGTAATTTGCAAGTGCATGTGATTTTTGTTATCTGTACCAAGCCCAGACAAAATATTCACCCATAAGAGTACCACATTTAGTGCTAATTTTCTAATTTAAAATTCTAGAATCCTCATGGTTCTTTAAACACCTCCTCGATTGTTGGATATATCTACCCCTGAAGGAGGAAGGCCTTTCTCAGGCCCACCACCTGTTACCCAGTGATAGCAGTCAGTGACACTTCGAGGTTTTGTTTCCCCTCCACAACGTGTACAGTACACAATACCAAGTGCTAACATAATTACCAGAAAAACACACAGAGGAACAAGTAAGGCTACCACCAACCATCGATTGTCCCTTTTTCCCTTTGATTCTTGGGATGTGTTGGAAGAAATAGATGATATATCGGGCGATACAGCATTTCCAATATGATTAGACAATGATAGGTCCAATGAAGACACTGTGTTTATATTTATACGTACTCCGGTTGTTGGCACTTCTGTTGTTGTTGGATTATCATCTTCTGGGAAAATGTAAGGTTCCGTGGTTGATATCCTAGCCTGCTCCAAAGCTGTAATGGTTTTGGATGGTACTGTTGTGTATATAGCAGATGTGAACTTTTCCCTCTGCCATTCATCAACACTCGATTCATCTTTCGGTAATGTGGTTGATAAGTACTTTGCAGGAATTGTTGAAGATAAAAAAAACCTAGGGGGGTTAGTTTGGAAAGTGGTTCTTCTGATTTTATCCATCTTATAGGATGGTGGCATAGTCTGAGCTTGGGTAACAGTGGGTGAAGCTGTTATTTCCATGTGGTTTTCCAAGTCTAGTAGGTATGTTGTTGTCTCAGATATTTTGTTCATAGTTGGCCCCACAGTCGTTGTTTCTTTTTTAAAGGGTGTTGTTGGTTGGTCTGTGTAACTCCGAGCAGGAGTTTCTGTGTCATATAGGTCTTCCCAGTACCAACCCTCGGTTGCTGTATCAAAAGTCTCCAGTTCCTGATCAAAAATTCTGGTCACAGATGGATTTGGCTCATGTCTAGGCTCTATTAAATCCAAAGGTTTGCAGCTCACACGATCCACATCCAGTTCATAGCCCTCACTACAGTAGCACTCAAAGCCCCCAATATAGTTCACACACATTTGTTGGCACATACGAGCAATACGACATTCATCTATATCTACGCAGCGCTCAGGATCATCTTCTGCAACAGTAAAACCCAAGTCACAAGAGCAAGTATATGAGCCCAGAGTATTTTGACAGGAGTGTTCACATGTTTCTTCATCTTCACATTCGTCTACATCTTCACAACTATGTTCATCAGCAGCCAGTTCATAGCCTTCTGGACATATGCATTGGTAACCCTGGCCATTTGTTCCAGCTATGCACTGATATTGACAAGGGCATCCTTGTGCTTCATAATTGTGGTCATCCTCTGGTTCACAGGAGTGTCCATCTGGCTGAAGTACATACCCATCTTGACAGCTACAAACTCCTCTATCACACAGTTGCTGACATTCCTGGCATTGTAAGTCTTCAGGACTTTGGCAAAAAGGTTCATTCTTGTTCCATCCCACTGTACCATCCTCCTTTAACATGCAGAGGACAGACGTACTCTGATGTTGCCCTTCACATGACACTGTTGCAACAGTACCAAATGGAAGCAAGTCTAGCCAGGTACCCTCGTAGCCAAAGGGTACAGAATAGCGAACAGATACTTCAGTCAAAGTTGAACACAATCCTTGATAGCGAAACTTGCATACAAAACCATCAACAGGTAATGTACAAGATCCTTCTAGCCATTTAAAATCATCTTCTGGTTTACCATAGCCCAATCCAATTGCCACACATCGTGGAGCTGAACAGGAACTTGTGGACGATGCTGACACTGCTTGGGTAACCCAGTTAGTGTAAGCTGTGTCTTGGTCTCCAGTGGTCCACGTGAAGCCACGCAAAGGCTTTTGAGGAGCACACTGCCTGGGCTGACGCTGCAAGCCAATCCAAAGCCTTAGTTGCAGGTCTCCATCACTGCGGGAACCTGTTGAGGAAGTAAGAAGTTGTTCAACTAAAGATGCTTCCTGAGCATTTTTGACAGTTGCTAGGTTGCCACCTCTTTCTCGACAAGCTCTCCAAGACTCCAGGAAAGTACGTCGCTGGTAAAAGACTGCATAACATGAGTCACTTGGTCCACAAAGGGCATCATGTTCTTTAAGTTCATAGGAAAGTGAAATAGGCAGGAAAATTGCAACTTGCAGACTGAGAATAAATGAAATCATGGTGGTTCCTTTGGTTGAATTGATTGTTGCTTTGATGTGCAGAATTTGTCAGGATATTATGATCGGCCTCCCTGCAGACTGAACTTTCTTCTTCTGATAAAATGTAAGACTGGCTTCCAGGATTAGCTAGTTCAAGCTATTGCTGCTGTTTCTATGGTTGGTCACATTTGCATCAATAGGTCCTTGAGTGGAAACTGTACAAGTTTCATCCTTAAAGTGTTTGCAAAGATGTCATTGTCTTCTGATATAAACCTGATGTTGCTATATTCCCCTTATGTGTTCTTTGAGCCACTTTCAGTGCTCTTTAATATCCTTGTGTTGCTCTTCTTAGATATAAATGTTCCCTCTTCATTCTCTCAAGCAGCCAGTTATCTCACATCACAGTTTGCTTAGGAAGTGGTTGTCATCATTCTGCTCTTTGTCTGTACTTTAGCTGTCTCCAGTCTGATGCTTTTAACAGACGAAATATGAAATGAAGTTCTACTATCTTTCTGCCTCTGGATTTGGGAGGGAGGTCTCTCTCTTTTTCGCTCTCCCACATGCTCCCCTCTCCCTCCCCCTCTCCATCCTTGTATGGACAAAGTTTGTTTCTGTCTTTTTTTTCTTTTGCTCTTTTTCCTCTCCCTGTTTTACTCCTGGTCTCAGACCCCATGAGATTTAGCAAATATGTCTCTCTTGGCAATGCAACAGGAAGCAAGGAGGG